TGCTCAAAGGTAAGTCAGATTTTAGCTTCACAATGTTATAATATTAATGAAATGTCTCTCTCTGGTTTGAAGAGTTGTCTATCTGTTACCACAGATAAATTCTTGTCTGATATTTCTGAAAATTGTTCAGACTCTGGGCTTTTGAACACATATGGAATAAACAAATACAGTGGTCTTTCGTTTATCGCAGGGTTACGTTCTAAAAATAACCCGAGGGGAAATCCGTGAAGTAGTCAACTTTATATTTTACAATGATTATATCTGTTTTAAGTCTGTAAAACCAATCAGCACACATTTTATACACTTTTCTCAAACAGGACAGTTAACACTTTTTGCATCCTTCTTAAAACTTATTGCTGCTGTCGTCCTTTTGTTATTTTCCTTCTTCTTTATGTAACAAACCCAAGATTAATTTATTCCGTAATGGAGCCCTACAGCGCAGAGTCCTGCACGGGTCCAGTACAACACCACATCCTCCGTTAACCCGAGATTATATCAAACTTTTGCGCTGCAGCCGCCACGGACTGAACCAAAACTAACCCAGGACTAATCCAGGACTAACCTAGAACTGATTCCAGGACTGATGAGGAGGACTAAACCAGGACTGATCTAGGACTAAAACAGGAGTAAACCAGAACTAAACTAGAACTGAAACAGGACTCACTGTTGGGATGGGCTCAGAGGCGACCGCAGGAGAAAGGACCTGCCCAGAGCTCCGCACCTCAAGGCAAGGCAAGTTTATTTGTATACAATTCGTACACAAAGTAATTCAAAATGCTTTACAGAAAGAGAAATACATTAAAATCACAATAAAAACTAATCAAAACACAAATAATCATCATAAAATTAAAGATTAAAATTAAAAAGAGAGAGAGAGACATTAATTATATGAATTAGAGAGAAGAGTGCGGAATGAAAACCTTTCATTCCGGAGGTAAGCGCGGCAATTGCCTGATAGTGCTTTGTGGACACTCTGCTTGTGTTCTCTCGCCAAGATTAGTCCTGATTTAGACCTGGGTTAGACCTGACCCAACCGTGTGTAATTACTACCCACCTGTAATACGCAATACTTGTTTATTCAATGTAAAAAAAAAGGCATGCAAAATTGCACAAAAAAAATCCACGAAACAGCGAGACCGCAAAAGGTGAACCGCGATATAGCAGGGACGACCCTAATAAACAAAAATAAAGTAAAAACCACAAAACTTGAATTTAAGTTTGAAGTTGATAAAAGTCATTGAGAGAAGGCCAAGCGCTGTCAACAAACCAAAGGGTGAATACATTTTTTTAAATTATTGCTTTATTTAACTTCTTTTTTTTTTCTTAGCTATAATTCCATACCCTGATTCATCAGCTGGTTTCACTTCATGGAAACTGTCTGACCTCACAGCATTAGAATTTGTTTGCTCGACGGTAGGCGGGTACTTTCTATCATTTAACCAATCGCTGCTATTTGGTCGTGATGTATGTAATGCGCCGATAACATACAAGCTTTTCCTAAATCCCGTAAGAAGAATGGGCAAAAACGTCTTTCCCCTTGATGAAATTGATTGATTGATAGCATTTCTATAGTGCCTTTCAAGATACCCAAAGCGCTTTACAGTTCATTATTCTGTCACTCCACACTCAGTGGTGGTAAGCTACTACTGTAGCCACAGCTGCCCTGGGGCAGACTGACGGAAGCAAGGCTGCCAATCTGCGCCATTGGCCCCTCCGTCCACCACCATCACTCACGCTCACACCACTTTCATACTAGGCAATGTGGGTGAAGTGTCTTGCCTAAGGACACAACGACAGTTTTTTGCCACTGGCGCCCCACTGTGGCACCTGGAATTCCTAGCGATCTCCCATCCAAGTACTACCCAGGCCCAGCCTGCTTAGCTTCTGAGATCTGATGGGATCAGGCTTTTACAAGCCGGTATGTGCCAAATTGACCAAACATCTCTTTATTCTGGCTTTAAATCTGCGATTTCGAGAACTGTTCACAACAGTGAATATATGACTCGTCATTGACTGGCTAGTGCCTGAACTTGCACTTCTGGGATTTTTGTAAACCTTCTAGTGTATTCTGATTCCTGACCTAGTCGCTGGAGAGAAATGAAAGTGAGTGGAGGCACTAGGTGGCACCAGCCTGGCTAATAATTCTTCATATTACATTATAGTCACTCTCCCCTTAATCACCTTATTGTTGAAAATCAAACTCCTAAACAGAACCATGAACTCTAGTATTGATCACAGGCTCCTGAAAATGTGTTGTGTTTGAGTTTTCAGACTATATTACAACTTATTTGGCAGTGTGTTCTAATTTGTACATTCGTCACCATGGCAACTGCTGAACATTCTACCGTAATCATACACGCAGACCCCCCTAGAGTAACATCACTGCAAAATATCAATCATACCTGATCGAGAACCACCTCTACCTTTCCCTTTCTATATTTCCAGACCATGGAGATGATCAATGACACGTTCTTCGGCATATGCGACCCCTGCCTGGTACAGCCTTTCCGTCTTTACCCTGTTCTCCTGGTGGTCCCTGCTTTCCTGTGCCTCCCGTTGCAAAGTCTGGTCTTCTACAACCAAGCCTCTTCCAAACTCACCGAAAAAACAGATGTGCTCACTTTAAGCGTTATATCTGTTGATTTTTTACTGTCAATTTTTTCAGTCGTCTCTGTGGTCAGTCTCCAGCTTGTGCCTGTTTTCTATATATACGTGTGGAGTTGCTTTGTGGGTTTGTTGTGTATCGCCCATCCACTGTTCCATAGCTTGGTTTGTGTTGAGCGATACCTAGCAGTCAATCATCCCGTCACTTTTCTAAAATACAGACCTCTACGATATCGCTTTGGAGTAGTGGCCATAGCATGGGGTTACACTATGATGGGTTATTCTTTCATCATGACCGTATGCAAAATCCACCTAGTTCTTCTAAAGGTGTTTTTGAAGTTTGAATGCCTTTTTCTGTCAGTTATCCTGGGGGTAAACTCCTTCACGTGTGTATCAACGCTAAGAACCCTCCTCAAGCCGTCTCCGGGGGACAAGCAAAATGGTGCGAGCAAAAAAGATAGCAAATATGTGAAAAAAAAAGCTTTTGGTGTGATTTTAGCCGTGCAGATTAACATTATAATTTGCTACCTACCGCCCATCTCTCTTTACTTCTTCAATTATAAAGAGCTAAGATATGGAATAGAGTACTGCTCTATGTATTTGTACAACGTGTGGTACATTGCGGTAATATCATCCGTTCATTGTTTGCTGTATCTCCACAGCCGCAACCAGTTAAAGAGGACATATGCTGCTTTTTTGAGAATATATTAAAATTAAACTGTAACATACAAAGATAATTATTTCATATTTTATTCACTATGTTTGTAAACTGCAATACAGATATAAAACAGCTTAAAGGGCCCATCATATGCAAAATCAACTTTTCAGAGCGTTCTACCGTCTAAGAGTGATGTGTGGGCCTTGTATGTAGCCAAAGTGGTTTTTAGATAGATTCTGTGTTTTTTTTTTTTTTTTTTAACAATTTGCAGCGTATTTCTGCCACCCTCCCACGTGACAACGAACTAAAGCTGCTACAACGATGATGCGGCCAGCTACACCTATGACGTGTTTGACGTAGCAGAAAGCGGTTTGCACCTGCCCCCGTCTCCTGCTCCACCGCCTCCGCCCCGCCTCCACCCCGCAACAGCTGACAATTCCACAGGAACACCAAAACAAAAGTGACAGCATAAGCTAATTGTTCTACACTGCAGTGTACACGATATAATACATTTATCTACTAGTGTTTATTAATACTTTACCAATCAGTAATGTTCAGATGATGCCGACGCTGTGCTTGGGCTTTGTCCTCCTCAAAGTCCTCGTCCAATTCCAGGTCCAACACATAAGGCTGAATGCGCCGTATCACCTGTCTCCCCCTCCCTCCCTGAGATGGGCAGAGGAAGGGCGCCTCACTCAGAGCCTACGTCACATTTGGAGGGCGGAGCCTGTGCTTTATCAGGATGGACGGGGGATGAGCAATAGTCGGCCTTTCATAGCTCCGGGTCTGTGACTGCCTCCAAGAAATCAGTAAGAGGTTTTTTGCATGAGATGGGCCCTTTAAAGGGACCATATTACCCTACTTTCTGATCTGTGTTGTAATGTTGTATTCTCATTACCTTTTCTTTTATTTGTTGGTTTTATGGGCTATCTGTGAAGGACAAGAACAGTCTGAACCAGATAGTAAAAGTGTGTGGCAAAATCAGCGGTGTTCAGATGGAGGATTTGGACTCTGTGTGGAGACATCGGGTGCTCCCAAAGACTAAGGCCATACTGAGCAAGCCTTACAATGTACTGCACTCACAGTTTGTACAAATGCCCTCTGGGAGGCGATATGTCACCCCCACAGCAAAAGACCAACTGCTACTCCAAATCTTTTAAAGTAAATTTGCTATTGTGTCCCTGATGGTCTGAGGTTTGAATGTATGGCGTCTGTTTTTCTTTTACTTTTATTATTTACAGATTGTGCACGACCAGAGATGTGCGAACTGAATTGCCCTTTGGGATTGATAAAGTTGTTGATTGATTGATGATTCATCAGAAATATATCTAATGTTTTGTTTTGTTTCATTCTAACATTTTTAACAGACAAGCTGCATATTTAACTGAGTTTATATCTCAAACTGAAAACACTCTGTTCTACTTTGTGATGCCATGTACTAAAACACAAAGTGCTCTTCTGTGTTTTTAAACTTCGTACACCTTCATTAAAATAATTTGGATGATTAGACCTGGAATTGTCAATCTCTACTAAAATAGGTAAAGTAAAAGGTAGCTGTTAACTTGAAAACTACCACTATATGACATCACGAGGAGGAACAGAGCATTTTGACCTTTTATCAGTGCTCCATATTTCTTATTCAGCTGTTATTTACAATATTATGTGATTACTTACTATTTTTAATGCTCATACTGTTCATACTTTATTAGACTATAGTTTTAGTTTGTGTGGATTCTTTAATTCTTTAATTTTGTTTACTCAAAGACAAAATAATATACATGTTGGCAAGAACTCCCAGCACTTAAGTAATATTAGTAACAATAGGCTGCTCTTCTATGACTGCTCCATCCCCCCATGAGTATTTCTTAGTATTTCGTATATTTACAATAATCAATAAACATATACTGAATATCTGTGTCCTGATTGATTCAAGTCCACATTCACATCCCATTCAGAGGTTTCTCACAGATCCACTGCATCAGAAATGAACACTTGGCGTCATTCAGACCAACAAAGTTATTTTGATTTCGAATGTCGCCACAATCTTCACCGCCGTTAGAGTCGTCAGGCTGTCCAGGGGCCCACTGCAGCCTGTGAACACAACCAGAGCAAACAACATGTTAAAACATTAAACAGGCAAGGAAAGATGCTGTAGTTATAATATGGAGCGACAGGTTTGTGAAGGTGCAAGCTCACAGAAAGGACTCGTTTTTCAGTGCAATAAAATCATCTAAAATTAGTCTAGCTCCCGTCCCTTTGGCCAAATTGTATGTATTTGTAAAACAGCTACTTTAGTTTTTCATCAAATATATTTTACTTTATAGTTCTTGGTTGGTAGAACTCTATACCGCTCTCGCTTTAACTCAAGTCTTACTCATTTCTGTTGACCGGGGTCCCATCCAGCCACAACCAGATGCCCTCCCTGTTTCTGTCGGTCATCCCAATCCACGCAGCCTCTGTGAGTCCAGTGAGAAATCCCTGAGGATAATACAGCACTAATGAATAGGGGTGTAACGATATCCAAGTCTCACCATATGATATTGTCACGGTATGAAGCAATATCGTGGGAAAACTCAGAACATGGTGGGGAGGCTCACGATTAGGGATGTAACAATATCCAAATCTCTCTGTATGATATTTTCATGATATACATCTCACGATACAATGTTTATTGCAATACAAAACTGTTAATATGGTACTTTTTCCTCTTAAAATACCTTGACAAGACTTAATCCAAAGAATTAAGATTCAAAAGTGCTTAGAACTGTTATTTCTTCATGTAGTCTACACTGAAATGGATCTATGTAGTTCCCTGTGTTTTTTTTTTTTTTTTTTTTTAGCTATTGCTGCACCATAACTCTTAATTTAAACAAAGAGACTTGTAACTCAATATATTGTGATGGTCAGTGATATTATTGTGAGAACTCTGGCAATACAATATCACGATATTTCGGTTATTGTTACATCCCTACTAATGAACACTACTTTGTACACATTAGTGATGAGGTTCTTTTGAATTATTAATAGCAGAATAGAATGTGTGAATCTAAATTTAAATATAAAACCTGATCGAAAGTTGGAGGGGCAAAGGGGAACAGTTAGGAATTTGAACATTATCAGATGAATGTTAATCAGTAGCACCAATAGATTTGGTGACATCTACTGGTTTGTGGAGCTTTATGCATGTCCATATTTCCCACATTAATTTTGAACAATGAAATCCGATTCCAACTCAACAACTACAACACGTACTATGTTGTTATGTCTGGGAAAGACACTCACTTTAACCATTTAACATGGTGTGATGTGGCCTTTGTTTCTCTGCTTAATGATGATGATGATTATATTTATGATGATTTTAAAGTTGCAATGACTTCTATACCTGCTCTCGTCTGTTGTTGAGTTTGACCAGTTGAGCTCCCATCACCTCACAGTTTTTTCGACTCTGATCAAAATCTGCTCTCTGTGTAGAAAGGAAGTAGCACTTGGACCCATATCGTCGCCATCCAAGAGGGCACAGTCTGCTCATGTCCTCTGCTCCAGAAAACAAAAAAAAATGTGAAATACTTATTGCAAGGTTAAAAGAAGAACGTATAATGTGTTTTTTAATGCCACAGTCTTTGCAATAAAATGTCTTTGTGCTTGTGTTTTAGAGTCTGTATTCTCAAGATAACAATTTCAGTTATGAAAATATGATTATGATTATTTTAACAGATTACTAGTCATGACTATTCTGATGTAAGTATTTCAGTCCTAGTGTCCATACTGCTCTAATGCACAAGAAAAGAACACCTACTTGTTGTGTTGGTGATAGGGGCTGGAGCTCTGGTCGTAAAGGATTCACCTGCAGTTAATTCAGCTTTCTCTGCTGTGAAAGTCAAATCTATTTTAGTTTTACAAATAAAGAGACACCCACTAGACCAGTGGGTACAACACAGAACAAAGAAATCAGAGTATGCTAAAGGTAAAGGTAAGTCTTTAAGTTGTGAACCGACTAGTAGCAAATACTCCATACTGTAAAAAACTATGGAGGGTTTCAATGTACGCAGCTCCTCATTCAGACAGATAAGGCAGAGACTTCCGAATCTTGTGAGAACTGAAAATGCCACTTAGATGAGTGGCAAGATGGGTTTTCTTGTGCAACTGAGCACTATCATGTTTACAACTTGATGGTGTACTGTTATTACTGAAATGTAATAACTGCTACATGTGTCCACATAACATGAGAGGCAAAAAATCTAAGGTCATATCTGCTGATGAAAATTCAGTTCATGACAATGTTTTGACATGGTTTTTAATTAATATAATAAAAAGCAAACAATTGAACTCACTCAAAATCAGTCTCAGAGAAATGTTGAGAGTAGCCTGCAGAATACACAAGATGCCAAAGCTCAGGACTACGCCACTTAGATGTTTGCACTCTGAAGAAAAAAAAGAGAAAAAAAAGGAAAATAAAATTAAATATTAAACGCAAGTCCTACTGTATATATAGACCTGGTACAGAACTAATTTAATCCAAGTACAGACCAGTAAGATGTTCAGTTTTTGAATAGTCCTCGTCTAAATTAAAACTACTGATTGTCATAGTTTCAATGGTGGAGTATGTTTGTCAGTACAAAAGTATAAATTTAGGCCTTTGTACTCAAGTAAAGTATCTTTTACAGTGAACATTTTTACTTTACTACATTTAAGCAGTATCTCTGCTCCACTATGTTCTTGAACCAGCCTGAAAATGGCTAATTTCTTCCCATATGGTCTGAGAGGTTTGCTTTTTAGCATGTTCATGATGACATCAGACCAAAATATTTTGAGTTCAATCTTTGCACAAACAAAATATAATAATAATAATAATAGACACTGCACAAAATGTGACTACACAGCTCTCTTATCCAGTTTATAGTAAAACAGGGTCGTGAATGAGTTTGTAGCAAAATCAAAGAATATAAATTGTCCCTATATATAAAAATATTGGAAGAGCTTATCGGACTTATCAGTTGCTCTGGATTTGAAAAAAATCTATGTGATATTTTATGTTTACTTGAGTATATTATGGCTCCTGTATCCGCACTTTTACTTATGTACCTTAATTGATCTTCCACCACTACATACAGTAATTTTTAGTCACACACTTCTAAAGTTATGATTTACATTGGATAAGGTAATGTACTTGTACATGTAACAATAACTAGACAATAGCAGCCTAATATTGTTGATAAAATAACCTACTTGGTTTTGAAGTGGACCTGGGCTCAGTTAGGTCCATCTCTTGATATTCTCCCATCTCAACGCTGATTTCAGACGTGCTGGAGTGAAAATACACAGCCATCTTTAAATCTGTCCAGAGTACTACAGTAAAACTAAACAAGATGTACCTTCTCATGTTTGAACATGACCACAGACATGTTTAGTCATTTCCTCTTGGTTGTGTGGGTACATATGTCAGGGTTGATCAATTTGACCACCTACGTTCACACTGCAGGTCTTGACGTTCCATTAAGACTTTTTCCCAGATTTGATTTTTTTGGAGAGACGGTTCACATTGTAAATAAAATATGACTCAATCAGATTTCATGTGTGAACGCAAGAGCCCTGAAGTGTCCTGAAGTACAGGGGGGACGGGACTGGAGTCGGGCTGTTTGTCATATTTTGAGAAAGACTAGTGAATGAGCACCACTTTTCTATATGATAATAAAATCCATCCATCTAATAATTTTCATGAAAAAAAAAAAACAAAAAACACACTCAGCTCACGTTTAGGGAAAAAATCTGACCTGCAGTGCCTTACTAAAAATGTGATTAAAGCAAACTGAAAAATCAGTTTTCCAATATGATGCTTTCATCATAAATTCAGAACTAAAAATATATATTCATATGAGAATAAATAAAAAAAATAAAAACAATTCTGGTAGTATTGTAATCATAAAGCTACACAATACAATACTGCTCTCCTTTCTGTATCACAAAATGAAAAATGTAAATTAATTTTTGTTTGAGGTTTACTGAGCAATTCAGATACATAAGGTCATGAGGACATGTTCGTTTGAGAAACCCACTTGCGTATACAAGCGTTTCCAAACATCTTAAAAACAAGTTTCACAATTCAACTTCAACTGCGGTTCAACTCTTGTTAGACATTTATTTTGTGCTGTACAAGTATATAGTCTTTTTCATTAGTACAAAACAATATGACAAATCATATTAATGACACTAGAAGTCACAATAAACAAAAAATAAACAATGAGCTCCACTAAAATTGGCATTTCTGATTGTAGCAGTTCTTCAGCAGTGATTCAAGGATTAAACTGGAAGTAAACCAGGATTTAACCGGGGCTTAACCAAGATTTAACCAGGACTAAACTATCATGTTTCAAAATAGAGACAGTTTATTGGTTATCAGTGATATCAGTTTCCCCAGATATTGGTATAAGACAAATAAACTTTTGCTGATAATTTGGTACCAATATTTTTTATGCCATATGTCATTCCCAGTTTGTCCACACTGCATATTATTATTTTTTAACAGATTAATGAGTGCTAATGGAAATAGAAGAGACATTATGCTAAAATATAAATGAAGTCATGTTACAAATGAGTTCATATCTCAAATAAAAACATTTTGTTATCATTTTTTATCAGGACTGGTGAATATCAGATATCTGTCACAATAGCATGACCAACATCGGATGTCGACAATGGCCCAAAAAATCCATACAGGAAAAAAACATGCAATTATTGGCATGATAATAGTTCCAGGTCGTGATCCATAAGCAGTTGCCTAGAATATACTCTAAAATATATTAAACTATTCATAAGGCTGGCAACATTATTTTTGGTGATGTTTTTTGATTCCCCAATGATGCCAATATTAGTGGAGGTGTACATAACATACATTATATATTTTGTACAATGATGTGCCTAAAATGCACATAGTTTACTACTTAGCCCCATTCTAAGAGGCAGTTGTGAAAATGTGAGTGATCAAGTTTATAAGGTGCTCACAGTAGCTTAAAAAAAAGTATAATTATTTTCTTTAGGCATCAGTGAAACAAGATTGCTATAAAACAAAATTTAGTACAGTACTCAAAAAATGTAGAAAAACATGAACATTAAGCAAAACTGAGTGGTATAACTCATATTTGTACAATACTTCCCGTCTGATTAACCTCTCCATACAGCGGGTCTAGAATACTAAGATTGTAGAGGAAAAGTAAGCTAGAACTGTCAACATTTTCATAAAAGTTTTACCTTTTAAAATGACTTAAAAATGTCTAAACAAAAGGATAACAATTCATTCACTGGTTATAAAAATGGCCATTGCAATTTTGTTTAGCTTGAAACAAATAAACCCTTTTTCAGTCCATCAGAAATGTCTATGTAAATATGTTTTTGTTTTTTTCCACACAAGCTTGCGGAGAAAGAAGAGCTAAAACAAGTCTCCTGCATTCTATATAAATATTTTTACTAGAATTGTGCGCCGGATGCTGTTATTGTTGTTGAAAATTACTATAAAATAAAGTGCAAAAATGTTACTTTATCTCATTTTCTTAGGAAAATAGGACCATATGCAATTTTGATCTCATGGTTCAGTCATCTGGCATTTGATTGGTTTCTTTGTATTTACATTTTTGTCTGCCTTCAAAACTATTTACAGAGTATAGTCAATGTCAGTGAATATTAGGGCTAAATGATTTGGGAAAAATATTGCATTTCATTTTTGGACAGATCTAAACTACAGGGTTAGCAGTTTTTATATAAAAGAACAAATCTTTTTTAGTTCGTGGGTGAAATTATGGTATGTCAAAAACTGCAAATGCTAAATGCAGCCATCCAAATTGCAATTAATCTTGCAGCCCTAAAGAATATGAGATTGCCCAACTTAAAACAGTCAATCTGCATTTTTTTTTCTTTTTGTTTTGCTTAGCACCAATTACAGAATACGACTTAAAAATGCACTGTGTCTTTTCTGGTAAAGGACCACCACCTGCTTGTGTCCGTGGAGGTGTTATAGATTTGCTTAGAATGCTCAACAGTAGGGCAATAAACTTATCATAAATGAAACAAACAAGCAACAATGACCCTAACCCTAATAAACAATCCAAGTTGCAGATCAGCTCTATGGGGAGGCGAGTCCACTCACAATAAGACTACAAGAATATATTTCTGCAATGAAAACACCTGTATTTGTGTAAATGCAAGATACACATGACAAATGCCAAAATGTAGGAATATTCTAGGCAAAAATAATGACATCCCCACGGAGAGAAGCAGGTGGCAAAAAAAAAAATTACATAGTGCACCTTTAAGTAAGAAGTAACTACATTCACTGTGGTGGAGGAGGGGGAGGTGGGGGCGGGGGGAGATCCAGGTAGGACATGGCGTTCGGTGGCCAGAAGGGTGCAGCGAAGGCCGGGTTGAAGAAGGCGGGAGGAGGGGGGTACATGTGGAAGTTTGGGGGTGGGTGGTGAGGGGGATAGGGGCAGGGAGGGGGCGGGTACATGGGGGGTCCATGGGGCTGTCCTGGAGGAGGAGGAGGGGGGCGGTGATGGTGAGGAGAAGGTGGAGGGGGTCTGGACGGGCGAAAAGCAGGGTTCCTCTGGTTCTGGTGCCTGAAGGGAGGACGCTGGTGTCTGGGAGGGAAAGTCCTGGTATCGGGCTGATGTTGGTGCGGATTCTGGTTGTTCTGAGCAGTGCAGTTGTCTGACAAAAAAGAAATAAAAATATAGTACAGTTCAAATAAGAGCTTCAAAACTGTGTAAAAGAGTGTATGAAAAGGGAAAATATCAAACTGACTTTTTTTGGGCTTTTAACCATGTTATAGTGCTGTCCCCTCAACAAAAACAAAACCAAAAGCCTTAAGTTGTATATTTTTTTCTGAAATTAATCTAATGATTTCATATTTACAAAATGCCCACATGTATAATAATATATCTTATTTTTCAAAATTCTAATTTGCCAATTTTCTAACTCATCAATTTTCAAAACTCAAAACCGTCAATGAATTAGCTGATGAAAAAATGGCAACTCAAATCTATTTTTTCTTTATGTTTACTACTTTCTACATTTTATACACATACTGAAGATATATAGATATATGTAGCAAAGAAAAATGGTAAATTACTCAACAATGTTTTTTATATTTCATATTCAAATCCTCAAACTAGCTATCCTTCACTTTGTCCAAAAAAAAATTTAGTTAAACTTTTTTCTTATTACATAATTCCATTTATCTTGCTTCATATATTTCATTTCTTCTGTATGTATATACAATGTAGAAAGTAGTTAAAAAGCAGCTAGTTTCCTGTATACAAACATTTGCAGATATTTTCAGAACAGTCTGTACCTATGCTGCTGTGGTTCCTCTTCTTTCTTCCTTTCTTTTTGGCTTCTTGCTCTTTTTCGTCATCGCTGTAATCCAAAGCCTGGACACATAAAGGAATTTACTTTAAACACATCGATGCACTTTAGAAGATAAACACGACAAAACAAATAATTGATGCAAGGAAGTTATAAAAAAAAAAAAAAAATAAAAATTATAAAAAATTATATTTTATATATATATATATATATATATATATATATATATATATATATATATATATATATATATATATATATATATAAAACAGTTTGACTGTGTAGATTATGTACTGTAATATTATTTACCTCTACAGGTGGTTCCGCATCATTTTTCCAGGATGCGTCAGATCCCTTTTCCCTGTTTAAAAATACCATATGATTGAAACAGGAGTGACCCTGCCTCCATCTGACAGAGAGACATCATTACCTCCGCCAAGGAGGTTATGTTTTTGCCGGCGTTTGTTTGTTTGTTTGTTTGTCTGTTAGCAACATAACTCAAAAAGTTGTAGACCGATTTTGATGAAATTTTCAGGATTTGTTGGAAATGTGAAAAGGAAGAACTGTTTTCATTTTGGGGGTGATCCGGAAGAAATCCTGGATTCTGGATCACTTTGAAATTTTAGTTAACATTGCGGTAAATGGGGCCAAAAATTTAGTTTCTCAATATCTCGGTTAATTATTGACCAAACCCCATGAAATTTGACTCAGGGATGGACAATGGGATCCTCTTTCATATTCCAAAGGCTGATCCGGATCTGATCCAGAAGACTGATTTTATCGCAATTTATATAAAAAATGGGGGTAGTCCTTGGCGGAGGTCTGCGCTCTCTGAGTGCTTTTCTAGTTGTACAGTGTGGTTCTTACTGTTTGAGCTGTTGAGTGAGGATGTAGTCTGTGTATTCCTTTATATTTGGGGCATAGAACAGAGTGAGCCCCACAGTGATGTCTCTGTCGTGAATCTGCTGGTCAGAATTAAACCTCAGGAGATAAAATGGACTGCACACAGGGCCAAACACTTCAAACACCTGACACCAGAGGGCACAAGAGGACAACAAGGAATATGTTAAGAAGAAACATCAAAGCTCAAAACCTACATACATTTACTAATGAATCTATTGTAGGAGTTATTTTACCAATAGAAGAAATGTTCTGGGATAAGAGTATTGTGCAGAAATGCTTTTGTTTATGAAATGTGCAATACAATTGCACAGGATTGGACAAATACCAAATGGTTTGTGAGAGGTAAGACAGGAGAAAATAACATAGTTTATGCTGTTGAATTTTCTGTCCAGAAGGCTGCAACAGTGTACATTAAATCAAACAGCAGCAAAGCAAATGTTTGTGTTTTGTTTCATCTGGTTGGATTTTTGTCTTTTCCTATTCCATTTAGTTGATCATATATAAGATTAACTAAAACATTATTAAAAATGATCAAATACATAACAAGTCTATTACTGATGAACAGTGCTGTACAATGTCCCTCACCTTTCCCACAGAGACTCTTTCAGATGTGAAGAGGATGCTGTCTTCTTTCAGAGGAGGAGTGTCTTTGAGCGACTGCACCACAACTGCAGAAATAACAAATCTTTATCTTTGAGTTTTTGGCAAAAATGAAATAATGGCATTTTCGCATCCTTTTAGCTCATACGATGCTGCATGGCTCTGTAAACTCACCGAGACAATTTAGAATATTGGAGACAGCTCCCACAGGCTGCAGCTCAGCATCCTCAGGTAAAGTCACACTCACAACCTCCACCTCAGGCAACTCCTGCTCAGAAATCATAGTATAAGTAATGACTACTGATATTACAGTTTTCTATTTATATGACAGTCTCTTAATTTTGACGGAAATTTCTGGTGCAGAGCCAGACAATTCTAAAACTATGCAAGAAACTATTTATATGATTTCTTTTAGTACTAGCCTTAGGAGAATTTAGTATCTAGTTTCAATACTAGTTTTAGTATTAAATAGTATCTTGCTGTCAACACTTTTTACCACATTAGCAGAACCAATTTTCATTTGCAAAGACGACCTGGAACTAAAAAAGCTGTTGCAATAGACTTCAGTAAACTTGACGTAAACACGGTAGTTAAAACCAAATTTCCAATCTCCACGTTGTGGAGAAGCAGGTTGTCTTGCAATATCACTATGGGTAAGACTAATAGCTGACTTACTGCAGTGTGGGTATAGTTAGAAAATCCATTTGGAGCTAAACTAAAATGTTAACGTGTATGCAATAGAATTATGTCAGTTCAAATATAAAAGAAACAAGCATATTAACAATAGAATATAACAGTAGTAGTGATAATAGTGTAACGAAAAGGATTTCTTTAAGAGACAGACCTCAAGCAGGACCTCTCCTTGTATTCTGATGGGGGCAGGTTGACTGAAGCCTTCATCATCGTCTTCCTCCAGCATTCGGACAGATGGAGATGAGGAAGAAGAGGAAGATGAGGAAGAAGAGGAGGAGGAAGAGGAACTGTCACTGCAAACCAAAGGAGAGGACATGTATAAGGATTCACATGAAAACTGATTATGATTGATGATTCTTGTTTTGTATATTACATTAGACAATTCTACATTTTACATTACATCATTACATTGTTAGTTTTAATTTGTCTTATTGAAAGATAATATACTTGATATTCTAATTGTGCATATCTAAAAAACAACACTTCCGACATTATCCATTTCTTCAATATTTATCTCCCACCGCTACTCTCTATACAGCCAGCACAGAACACTATTGATTCATTTACCTGTCTGAATCTTCGTCTGAGTCCTCAGAGTTCTGTTCTTCAGTTAAAATGGCGGTTGATGGTTGATCTCCTGTCATCTGTATTTCTTTGTCTTGACATTTTTCTGTCTGAGTGAGTTGTGCTGAAGCGTCCAATTGACCAGGCTCAAAGTTTAGGCTCTCCATTTGATTTGTGACATCCATCGCAATCTCTTGATCTTTAGGAGCCAATAACATCTGTGAAACTTCTTTCTTTGGCGCACTTTGTTCAACTGTGAGATTTGCAACTGAACTTTCACCTTGAGAGGTAGGTGGGGTGGGCGAAGTACCCTCTGGCATTTCAACCATCTAAATGTTACACCAGAAATAAAAGCATAAAGTTAGAACATGAGCTAAAAGACCAATTGCAAAAAAAAAAAAAAAAGATCCTAAAATCCTGTGCTTTCTTGGAGTTTAGACCTCTCAAAGAATATTCTGAAACTGAAGGATTTGTGTCATAAATGATCAGTTGATATTTCAAATCTCAAAAACTGGATGCTCCTGGAGTTGTAGAATCCTACTTTTTAAAAACAGATCACAATTTGAAGAACAATTTTTGCCAGAATCGTGCAGCCCTAATAGAATTCGTAATTTGAACACTTTACCTTTGATGATGATGGACTCTGCAAACTGTCCTCTGGCATTTTCTCCTCAATCTGAACATAAGAATACAAACAGCAGAACAGGTTAGAACACATAGATCAGTTAGGTTCATGTATTAGGTCTTGACATTTTAAGATTAGAACACAAGCTAAGAGAGTAATAACAATAAATCAAACAAATATAGAAACTGAAATTTGAATGGAGATGTTTACTTTGGGGGATGATACGCTCTTCAAATGATCCTCTGGCAATTTTTCATCCATCTAAAAGTTACAATAGAGATACAATGGATTAGAACAAAAGATGAAATTGCAATAAAAAGCAATATAGACATCAACATTTGAAGGGTGACACCTTTAATTTTGGGCATGGGCTCTGTAAAGTATCCTCTGGTACTGTTTCTTCCATCTGAAAGTTACAAAACATGAATATGTGCTAAAATAGTAACTGCAATAAAATCAATATAGAAATTACAATTTGAATGGCAAAATGGGTTAGAACCAGGAATCTGAATTTAGGTGGGTAGATATTACATATTACAAATTATTCATAGATTTTGGACATGTATTATTTTGTCAGTGGAGCTTTCCAAATGTACTATGATAAATAATTACAATATAGACGATGTTAATATGCATGATGGATTCTAACCTCTTAAACATGTTATTTGCCATTCACTGTAAAATCCATTCACTGACAGATTACAGAAGCTTTGCAACAAAAACTACAGACACTATCGGCTTTAATTACAATCGACCAGGTATTTTATTGATTTATTGACTTAAATATAGACTACCAAATAAACAGAGAAAAGGTGAATCACATTCAAGATAACACAACACATGCTAGCTACGTACACTAGCATCGATTTGTTTAACTTCCTTATCAAACTAAAGAACTCAACCCAACTAAAGATGACCACAAATCTAAAACACTCGCTGGTTTACAAAGGTAAAAGATGAATTACATGGTCATCGTGTTGAAATAAAGACACTTACTTTCCAATATACCACGCACAACGAGGCTACAGGGAATGTATGGAAAGAGTTACTAGTTGGCAGTAAAATGTCAAGTCACATCCGGTCTAAACCTCCAGAATAAAACATTATTGTAGTTTTAATCGGTTGAACATTTGATTGCTTTGCGTTTATGCAACTGCATGAATATGTTAATATGTACAGTGTAACGAATAACATTAACTAACACCAAAATACACTCATGGAAACACGAACTAATGTAAAATGAAATGATGGAAACGCAAACGTTTTATTTTGAAAGTACAAATCCGTTCTTATTGTAGTTAGTTTTAAAAACTTGAGTAATATTTTCGGCCTCGTTTCAGCAGCATGGGTTAAACATGTGGGATGTGTTTTTCCTCATCTGCGCAGTCACCATGCGCATCTTAGTCTCCAACTTGTTACATTAATTAATTAAAGTATGACTAGCGAGCCTATTATTTCCAGATACTCAAGTCATTAGTCAGCAAAATAGAAAATGCCTAGGTTACACGCAGACAAAAAGGAAAAATTATTTTGTCCAAGCAATTGTAATTAATCTGCACTTATGTATTGCATTCATTCATCATCATTCTGTTCGTTTACTACCCCATAATATACATTTTATGCATTTTTTATATATGGACTATATAGTGCAAAGGAAGACATAGGATTAATTTTATATCCTTAATATATGCCGTTATAGTGTGCTTAGCCACCAGAGGGCAGCATTACAACGTTTCTTCAAATAGCTCCAAGTTAAGTTTGGGCTACTTCAGAACCATAGTCTTAAATCAATCTATCTTAATTCCAGACAATATCAGCATTTGAGCTGTGCTTGAAATTAGTGGCATAACTAGTTAATTTGTTATATCAAAAATTTTGGCTGTATCACCAGTACAAATTTTTGTTAAAGATTTTAAACTCACTATTTGAGTTTATTATGGAAATACTTTATAATACAAGACAATGAACACCTGCTCCCATGTGATACAGGCGGAGAAGGACAAACTTCGAAAACAACCGGTTTCCATAGACACCTGCACAATGAAGCAAAAACATCAAATGGTCTTATAGGGTCACTCACTAGTATTGTTCATCGTTTTCCTTGTTTGACATGTTTTGGAGAACTAAGCATAGCCTTCTTTAAAAACATTCCAACATTTCATACATTACAGTTGATGAGAGGAATTATTTCTTTTCCTGTGCCATTTCTCTTAGCACCTCTCCGATGGTGTTTGCTTATTTTGTGGCAGCAGCAGGTGTCTCCTCATAGCAGGTGTTGTTTGTCAGCGCGCATTCCTCTTTTACGCCTCAGTCTTTCAAACATTGTGACAAAACAGGACAAAACGCTCTGACAACATTCCCTGAAGGCATCACCAATGGCCCTCAGTGGACATCCAGTCACACCATTCACAGTGATGCGTTCAATTGTCAGAGAATTCCTGGGATTCCTGGAGTTTTTCCTGTTGTTGCTGTGTCACTTCCATGTTTCCAGCTGGAGTTGTTTTAGACTTTGAAGGTAGTCAAGAGATGATAACCATATAAGGAAAAAAGAAGGACTAACTAATTTAAAAGTCCTATATTACTCAAAATTGACAAATGTTTTAAGTCAGCTTTTAGTCGTGTGAATGTTGTTACCTCATCAAAAACATATTTGGAGTTTCATTCACACATGTTTGAGTAGACCTTTATTATGAATCTGTCTTCATTTCCACAGCTCAAAATGCTCTCTTCTACCTTGTGATGTCATGAAGCTGTAGTTTTCAATTTAACAGCTACATTTTACTTTTAGTTCAGAAGAGAATAATTCTAATGACGGTGTATGGGGTTTAAAAACCATAGTGGAGCACTTCCTGTATTATTACATGACATTGCAAGATAGAATAGAATAGATAGAAGTGTTTTTGGTTTGAGAGAAGAAATCAGTCTAAATATGCAGGGTTTGTGTATTAAAAATGTGAATGAAACTAAACATAACTCCAGGTCTGTTTTTGATGAGTAAACAACATAACATAAATGAGAAAATAGCGTAATATAAGTATATAATAAACTTCTCCCTGTCCATAGAGACAAAGAGGTGATGCCATCAGGTCTAGTTACAGGTCAGATTTGTGGAAAGGCCATCCTGCTAAGTTAAGATGTATGTTTTTCACGTTATGTTAACAATAAAACCAACTGTACCAACACACTCAGGCAGAGCTAAGGCACATAAAGGACCAGGCAGAGAGTTAAAACACTCCAACATTTATGTCAACACTTACAACACAGAATCTTCTCTTACAAAACTTTGACATTTTAAAAGAAGCCAGACGCTGGTTTGAATTGGAAATATGCAGCAGCTGATTAAAACTATTATTCAAAGTTGTAATTCTATCACAGCATTAACAGATCAAGTATTGTTAAATACGTCTGGGCATTTTTCTTTTATTACAGAAAGTGGTGTCCCAAGTCAAAGTAATCTACAATGACATGAGAGAAGAATGAGTTTCAACCAAGAGAGAATGAGAAACAAGTGAAGGGAAAGAAACTATTCTCCTCCTGGTCTGAGAGTTACATTTAGAATCATTTGTTCTGAGTACATGTCCCTATCCACGGCTGTTTCTGCAACACTGCATTGCCCGTTCTGATTGGTCAGAGCTCAGAGAATATGCAGACTGATTAAAAGGCAATATATGTGTACTTTTTACTTTTTGGAAGCAGTACTTGTACTTGTGAGTACATTTTTAGCCATGCAACTCTACTTTTACTTGAGTACTAATTTGTACTACTCTTTCCACCACAGAATAAATCGTCATCTTACTCAACGTTATATTTGTTATCTCTTGTCTCACTGGGAGGAGGCCCCAGGAAGGACCCAGGACACGCTGCAGGGACCATGTCTTTCGGCTGGCCTGGGAATGCCTTGGGATCCCACTGGAGGAAGTGTCAGGAGAAGCGGAAGAAAATGGATGGATGGAAATTGCATTTTGTTTCATGTATGTTTGAATATATTAGTTATTATTATATTAGTTAGTTATAATAGACAGTAAATTATCATGGAAAGCTCAAATTAGACACATAAAAACTACAATTTCCAAAAAGTCTTGCTATAGTAAACAAAGTGAAACATTACCTTGATCAAAATGCTCTTCGTACATTATACTGTTCATTGGTTCTCCTTTATTTCACAGACTGTGTTGAAGTGTGGGGGAACACTTAAGAATGTACACTTCATTCAATAATTATATCACAGAAACGAGCTCTGCGAATTATCCATAAAGTAGTTTTTTTTAGAACATACCCATAATCTTTTTATTCAATCCAAGCTCCTAAAGATTCCTGATCTTGTAAAATATTTTATATATAATATTATTATTGAGAGCATGCAACAATTTACTACCATGTAATATACAAAGTTTGTTCAAAATGAGAGAGAGAACTTTTAATTTTAGAGGGTATGGAAATTTCAAATTGCCCAATGTTCGAACTACTCATAAAAGTTTCTGTGTGTCTATATGTGGTGTAAAACTCTGGAACAATCTGGATATACGTCTCAAGCAATGCCAAAATATCCATAAATTCAAGTTGTTATATAAACATATGGTCTGGTCACAGTATATAGAGAGTGGGTCATAATATTAGAACAATACTTCCTTCTATAGCTCTGGTTTATGTTTGCTGGTTTGTGCTGTTGTCTGTTACCATTGTCTGTATCCTTAAAATTACCATTGTTGGTATGATTATGTTATACGACCGAACTATAACAGTGACTCTTTGTCTGCACTTGTAAATAGTTCATATAGTTTAATTCAAATGTCTGAAAAATGCAAAAGAAGCTCATTGTGTTAGATTAGAAGAGTGGGGGTGGGATTAAATACGTTTTCTTCTTCCCACTTCTTTCTGGGCAAAAACATTTCTTTTTTTGTTGTGTTTATTTTCATTTCTATCATGATTTCACTTATGTTATATGTTCCATTGTGTAAGAATGTAAATCTTTACTTGCCCAAAATAAACACATAAAATAAAATAATACATAAAATATTCCTGTATTCCTGTCCTGCATTTGAGACTTGGCTGCTTCCCCTACCTGCACTCTTTCTCTGCCAACTTTGTCGTATTAACAGATGTATACATGTGATGAGTGATGTCACATAGCAATTTCTCAAAAATAAAAACAAGAAAATTAAAATCTGCTGCTACGTACTATCTACAATGCCAGTATGCAAGGCTCCACAGTTTTGAACAGAAAGTCAGTGGACCTTCTTGGATTATTAAGAACATGCAAAGTAGACCTATTCCACTGCCAGTTAGTTCATCCTATCCAGAGATCCCCATCAGTGCCCCCCTCTTCTATTGACAGGTTTTAACCTCCAGAGACAGTGAGGAATGGGTCAAATGCAGGGGACATTTCTCTGCACCAATGAGAACAATAAAAGCTTGTTTTTATCACAAATAATTTCCACATTGCTTTGTTGGCACACGTGTTTCTCCAAAAGTGCATAATTGTTCGAGTCAGTATTTCCAAATATTTGCATGTTTCCAAGTTACTGAAAGCAACTTATGTCAATGTCAACTTATTAGATAAACAGCATACCCCAATGTAATCTAAAAACAGACAAATACCAAAATAATCAAAGTACTCCTAAATACATTGTCTTGCCATATTGCACATACAAAATAGCAGACACAAATTCATATGCACCACCTCACGTTGCACAATTAGTTACAACAAATTTACACCTAAACACTAGAACCTATCGCGTCACCTGTTTGAAACTCTTCAAACACAGCACTTGTTAGCATGTCAAACTTTGCCTAAGTGGTGCAATTATTTTCATATCAGCTCAAATTCCTCAGACCTCTGTGAGTGCACGGCCAAAAAAGCGTAGCAATCCAATTTGGTGAATGCACATAAACATTGGTTGCGCAGAGGGGTCAAATTCTCGAAGTTTAGAGACATTTAGAGAAAGAATGGGGGAGAGAGAGGGCAGCCTTGACCTGTGCTTGTGGGGGGTCCAATCTGTTACTGTTTGGATGTCCTCCTGCACTGGCTATGGGCTCTATTAATTGCTGAAG